GCGCACGAGAACTCTCGACTCATCTCTATGCCGTCCTTATCTCGTCGAGGACGCCATTTCGCCCGACTAGTCGGCGTATCGAAAACGTTTGTATTTTGCTCTTGTTTTGTCCCGACAAATGTTCCAATCGACCTTATTTTCAGTTTTCGTGATAACAATGTCTATAAGGTTCACATTTTTCGTGATTGTAGTGTAGAATACTGCGCTGAAATACGAAAATATGGATAAAAATATAGCTGTAAATAGCCTGTACGAAGTTCGAATTATTGACGTCGCCGTCCTTTGCGAAAATACACATCTTAAGCATTTTGTTTTTGGCGACACAATGGGACCCGAGAGAGTTTCCCGCGTCCACTGCCGTACCCGTTTTGGCCTTTCCCGTCCTCGTATCTTAAGGTCCCTAATAGCGAATGTAAGTAAGCAACATGTTCACGGTAAATTTCGTATTTTGTCCTTTGAAAGCAAATACTTGGAGACTCACTTAAAAACATAGCTTGCAATAGAAACGAGCCAAAGCAATGCATAAACTCATGGGAAATTACAGGTGTCAAACTAACTATGGTCGAACTCGACGAAGGGACATGCAGATAACAGCGGAAATCATGCAGACCTATGACCTATAAAAAATTGCCGTAGCATGATCTAACGGCTCAACTCTACTAAGCCTACTCTGGGACCTAAAGTCGCCTTTTAAAAGTCGCCTAAAGTCGCCTTAAGTCGTCTAGAGTCGCCTTAAGTTGCTATCGGTTACGCAATGTTAAAAACGGTTTCAACACACTCAAATTGCGCCTGTAGAAGGTTATTAGACTTATAACTGTCGTGTTAGGGTAAACTCCACTCTAACCCTATGGAGGAGGAGGCAGGATGGCCCAATGGTTAATGCAATGGACCCCTATTGGGGATCATTGCATTGTGTTCCTACTCCCATAGTGCCTTTCCTCACCCAGATATATAAATGAGTACTGGTTACGGAACAGGAGGTCAGAGTGCAGCAGAGGTAACCTCAATTGGTGTGCTTTTAATTTTTTTTTTTTTTTTTAACACTCGTTCCCAATGCATTTGAGCCATCTANAGTATTTCTACTGACACCCCATCCAGATGGGATGTTAGTCCATTGGTACTCATTTAGACCCCTGGCTTGAGAGAGGCACTTTGATTGAGAGTAAAGTGTCTTGCCCAAGGATACAACACAATGATCCCAGCAGGACAATGACCTTGTCTACTTTACATGTACTTGACCCAGAGACTAACACACTAAACCCTGACAATGGTTTACAGGTACTAATCAAGATACGTAATCAAACATTAAAATAATTACAATATTGACATTTGTCCCATGGGTGAGGAATTTGGAGTCTTCTAGAAGCTCCTACAAATGAGCTAGCGACACTGTGGGGTAGTTGCTTCATTTTTTGCACAAATGTCCAGAGGTGGGGAGGGGGGAAGGTTGGAATTGATGAGGCTATTAATTACTCGGGGGTAGATCTAGGGGGATAGTGCAGGAGGTATGCACCCTCACTCCTCCCCCCCTCTTAAGATGAACCCTTCTTCTTTGTATTTGCTTTTAATTTTTTTTTTTTTTTTTAACACTCGTTCCCAATGCATTTGAGCCATCTAAAACTCCCCTTAAAGGGCCCTGGTTAGCCACACCTTTGTCTTTGTTTACATATAAGAGTTTGGCTTTTATGTTTTATTTGGAGCATTTCAAAGCAAAGAAAATCACTGAGAAGCTACTAAAGATAAACGGACATACTTTCAGAAATACAACTTACAATAAAGCAACAAGACTTTGCCTCACTTTGCAATATCAATAATTCTGATGGCATTGAAAATAGCAGAGGCTGACTAGGGTCCTTTTAGAAGCTTAGGACCTGACAATTACTGTATTATGCCTCAAAGCCGTGGCTCTTTTATACATTTGATAAAACCTAATATTAAAATAGTCCTGCACCTGCCTAGCCCCCATGTTAGCAGGGATAATTTCTACATGTAGACAATACTTAAACAGGAATGACAATCTGATGTATACTCTCTCACTGATGGCTTTTTACTTTTGTATTAAGTTTTAATTTTTTCCTTGTATTTCATTGTAAAAAGAGTTAATCAAAACAATGACACTCTGTGTTATCATCAGGAAATATATTTAGGAAAGATATAACAAATTACTATACTGCAATAATTTCATTTAAGCTTATTAATTTTTGTAAGATATTACTGAATCAAATCTTCCGAAGACCTACAGTGTATAATTAATAAACAACAACAGTGAGAGGTGTTCTAGATCATCAAGACGAAAAGAAAAAAACAGAAAGATATTTCTGCGTTAAGGCTCAATTCTTTCTAGTCACTTTTACACTGAGCAGTAAAAAGATGGTCATCCAAAGTCAATTGAACCGAATTGAGTCTACACTTAAATTACTTTACTTACCCAGTGTAAAAGAGTGACAAAAGTGGGCCATTTCTCCAGCAAAAATCATTATTTGCAT